GGGCGGTCCCCGCGCTGACGGCCCCGTCCCCTCCAGCAGCAGTCGCCGAGGACCACAACAACTGCAGGAACCCGGACGGCGACACCGCGCCCTGGTGCTACATCCGAGGCGCCGCCGGGGTGCCCGAACGGAGACCCTGCGACATCGCCCAGTGCCCAGGTAGGAGCTGCCCCCGGTGGACCCTCTTCTCCTCCAGCCCCCCTTCCCCCTTTTCCTCCAGCCCCCCCATCCCCCGGGGCATTGCCCTCCCCTCCCCGGCCCGTCTCCTGCCGCTGGGGACCGGCTTTGTCCCCGGGAGGGGGGTCCCCCGCCGCGCACAAACAGCCCCGGGCTATGGCAGCGCCCACAGTGTGTGTCCCCCCTTCCCCCGGAACGGAGTGTACCCAGGGCTCCCCTCCTGCGTGTGCACATCTGCCTCCCAGCTGTGCCTTGCTCCGCCCCTAGAGCTTTGCCATTAGTGCCAGAAAAGGCCTGTGCAAAGCTGTGTGTGTGTGTGTGTGTCCCCACGCCCCCGCCATTTCAGCCGTCACTACAGGGCTCTGTAGCTGTGCTGAAAAAGGCTGAGGTCCGGGCATCTAGGAACTGCAGAGGTGGCGAAGGACCATTACTGCTGTCTGAACAAGTGTCCCGCTGCTAAATGAGCCCCAGGGTGGATTTGGGTACAGGTGGGGGGAAGAACTTGGGGAAAACAAGAAGTGAAGGGAGGACAGTAAGAAAGGGAAAACCCAAACACTGGATTTCTCCCGGATAGTCAGAGTGGGAGACAGTTTGCCAAGAGCTGTAGCTGAAGCCTGTTTCAGGGTCAGGAGATGTCAGTATTGACTGAGGCCAAAGTAACCACGTGTTTTTTTTGAACTGTTTACTTATTTCTGAGCCCCTCAAGATTTTCTTACGCACTACACTGTCCCTCGGGGTTGCTGTCCTTGCATGTAAACACTTTCCTCTAGTCATACACCCTCCCCTTTTCTTCACTTTGCAAATAAAGCAAAACAAATGTTCTGCTGCCAAGACCCTTACTCAAAACAGCCCTGCAGCTTTGGGGTCAGGAGAGTTGCCTGACCTTTCAGCCAATTTGCCTGTTTAAGGGGTTTAGCTATTTTTGTGTCTCAGAGTTGGGCGCCTTTTTCTTGTAGTCGTGTCCTGCAGCTCCCCGTCATTCAGCTTCTCTGGCTGACCCTACATAAAGTCACTGTGCGGTGCAGGAGACCCTGATTTCCTGTCCCTAAATCCCCTTCTGTACTTCCATTTCACATTCCACTGAGGACTCAAAATGGCTGCAGATAGAAAATCCACACGGAGCTATTGCCAGCTGTGGGGTGAGATCCAGGTGGGGAGGGTTTCCAGGTGTGGATGCATACTGTGCATAGCATTTCCCCAAAATAGGCTGGGTTGGGTTTTTTTTGTTGTTTAGGACAGGTAATAGATACCTACTTTCCACTGTCATAGCTGTTACTGTGCTATAGCTTCCATTTTTACTGTGTCATGAAAGGAGCTACCTTGAAAATGTTTCAGTGCTGTTGATAGAGCCCACGGGGCTGGGAAGGAGTCAGTGCTATGAGTGTCCATCCTCACACACCTTCCTTTGGCTGAGGAGGAACTTGCTGTACTTAGACTAGCCAGTGGCTGTGCTGCCCCAGGTGTTGCTCTGACTCACCCTAAAGGAGTTTGCTGCAGGGCTGCACAGAGGGGCTGGGTAAGAAGAACGTCCCCAGGTTGTTTTCACACCAGCTCGAGTCTCTTCCCATCAAACCTTCCTGTGTCAGGAAGATTGAGGCAGAAGAGAGATAAATAGGCTCCTGGGAGATTTGGGATGGAGATTCTCATGGTCTCGTTCGTGCCTGTTCAGCACGATTGCAGCTGCAGCGTGCGTATCGATCCGTACACTAAATGAAGTCATTGTGCATCCCCTGGACTCGTGCCCTCAACCTGGGTTTCGTTCTGCTGTCTGACTTCTGTCTCCTCTGTGGTGGTGCCTTGCGCTCTTGGATAAATGGGTTCATGTCAAAGGAAAGTGGGAGGAGGAGAAGGTTTCTCCTCTGCCTTGGTAGGATTTCTGGCAACAACTTAAGAGGGAACAAGTGTTTGTCAGTGTGCTCCAAAGGCAGTTCAGTGATACCAGTCTGGATCTGTCCTGCTCACAAGGCATGGGGTGTTTTGAGGTACTCACCGATGCTTTGTATTTTGTCTGTCTCTCTTTCCCTCTCAACAGATGCTACAGCTGCCACAGCCCCAGTCCCTACCGCAGATGTGGGCACTTCTCAGGAGCCCGACCAGGTGTTTGAACCAGCTGATTCCTTGCCCTCCCGGAGCGAGGCCGCGGCTGTGCAGCCCATCGTTGGGATCAGTCAGAGGGTGCAGGTGAACTCCAAAGAAAAGAAGGACCTAGGGACACTAGGTACAAACCCAGGATCGTGTGATGGATCCATTCCTGCAATTCTGGCAGGATGGATTTATTTAGAGGCTCTAAAAGCAATGCTATGGCTGGATCTACTGCCTCTAATTTTGCCTCTTTCTCCCTTCGCAGGGTATGTGCTGGGGCTGATCATGATGGTGATAATCATCGCCATTGGAGCTGGCATTGTGCTGGGATACATCTATAAGAGGTCAGTGGCTATTCTCCTTTATCCAAAAGCTGGTGTAGGCATGAAGCAACGTGTATAGAGCAGGAATGTCTGAGCACCTGCAGACCCAACCAGACCCTAATGAAAAGGCAGATAGAAGCATATGTTTTGATGTGGCACATTGTGCAAGAGCTTTGCTTGTCACACTGAGGAAAGGACTATTTAAGACTTAATCCCATTATTCTCCGTTTCACCTTCAAACTGATTTGAAACTGCCCTCTTTTTTTTTATATCTTTGTGTGTGTGCACGCGTGCCTTGATGTGGCTTTCTCAGATACATCAGGGGAGCTGAATTTTACGTAAGAGCCCTCACAGGAAGTTTCTGTTGTGATCAGAGAGACGACAGTCCTTCCAGGAGGCCACCTGTTCCCCGGGTGTCTCTAGTCTAGCTTTAGAAGAAAAAACAATGGGCAAATTGTTTGCCATCGTGCATCGTATCCTACGATGCTGGATATCAAGTCACACTTTTTTTGGTCAAAGTTCATTTTACCAGAACTCCAGGTCAGTTTTGATTCACTCTTAAGTTATGATTGGTTCAGCTGTTCACTGCAGAAGTGTTTCTGTGGCTCAGCAGCACGTGAGGTTACGGTCACAGCCAGCAGCTTAGCTCCGAGAGGCAGGGCAGGATGAACAAATAGCAGCGAACGTCGCTGCGGTGAGCGAGGGCCCAGGCTCCCTCCTCCATACGATGCTGGATATCAAGTCGCACTTTTTTGGAGTCAAAGTCCATTTTACCAAAACTCCAGGTCAGTTTTGATTCACCCTTAAGTTATGATTGGTTCAGCCGTTCTCTGCACTGGGCAGAAGTGTTTCCGTGGCTCAGCAGCGCGTGAGGTTACGGTGACAGCCAGCAGCTTAGCTCCGAGAGGCAGGGACACTTTTTTTGGTCAAAGTTCATTTTACCAGAACTCCAGGTCAGTTTTGATTCACTCTTAAGTTATGATTGGTTCAGCTGTTCACTGCAGAAGTGTTTCTGTGGCTCAGCAGCACGTGAGGTTACGGTCACAGCCAGCAGCTTAGCTCCGAGAGGCAGGGCAGGACGAACAAATAGTGGCGAACGTCGCTGTGGTGAGCGAGGGCCCAGGCTCCCTCCTCCGGGAGGGTTTGTTCTGCATTTTGGCTGTTTGACAGCAGCCCGACACAGCCGAGCAGAAGGAGCCCTTTCCCAAGCTGGGACACGTCCTTATGTAAGCGTTTATAATAAATGCCGGCAGGAAAAAAATAAAAAGAAGAAAAGAAACAGGAGAGGGAGGAGCATTACATAAGGGACAAAATGCAGAGAGCTGCTTGTGGAGGGGTCTGATGGCAGGTGTGGCTTCGGGGAGCGCTGGCAGGAGCGGCAGCCACTGCCGCGCGCTCGTAGGCAGCCTTGAAAAGCAGCCAAAATGGTGATGTGCTGACAGGAAACCCCGGCAGCTCCGCCTGGTCGGGATCACGAGCCCCAGGAGGAGCGAGCGGTGCCTGTCCCACCTCGCTCCTCGCCGGCGGGGAAGAAGCCACGGACCGATGTTGAGCTTTGGCCAAAGGTGGCTTTGCTTCTCCAGCAGCAGAGAGCTCCCGGTGGGGCTGCAGTTTGGGGTTTGCTGTCTCTCCCTCTTCTTGCCTTGCTCTCAAAGTCACATGTACAAGCTGGCAGGTTTGGGTAGGTGTGGTGAGACACCTTTAATGGGTTTGGTAGCTTTTGGTGTACATGGCTCTTCTGGAGACAACGTGCTATTAATGCCAGCCGTTTTTAAAGTTCTTCTGGAGTGCAAATCCCAGAGGTGTCGCCTCCCTTAGCAACAGGCTGAGGAGCGGGGTGGGTTTGAGGAGCTGGTTGTGGGATTAAGCTGTTGGTGGCAGCCGCAGAAGGCAGGGCCAGCTCTGAAGGAAGCTTTAATACTTCCAGTAATGGCTTCATTTGCTGCACGGGTTTGTTTGCCACAACAAAAGGCAGAACCTGTCACCGTCTCCGGTGTTTGTTTCTACCAGGTGGAGCAGGTTACAGAAGCTCTTTGGGAGAGCAGGGGGCTCTGCACTGGACTGTAAGATGTAAGGAAAGGGTTTGAAGGAGTAGCCTGGCTTTACAGACATCATTTGGCTGTAGCAACGTTAATGAATAACCTGGTTTATGAGGGAGGGACAGATGTCCCTCGGCTGCTTGGTTTTTTAAAGGCGCTCAGATGGGGTCCTCTGCTTACAGTAGGGAGTGTTTTGGGCCCTTTGTATGTAGCAGAAACACCTGTTTTTTTAAAGAGCAGAGTCCCTGCTTTTCCACTCCATCACCTCTACCAAGACTCTGCCCCCAAGCAGTGGTGCTTACCCCATGCACATTTACATTCGTTTTTTTTTTAAATCTAGGGGGAAAGACCTGAAGGAAAAGCACGAACAGAAGGTTTATGAGCGTGAAATGCAGCGCATCACGCTGCCGCTCTCAGCGTTCACCAACCCCGCCTGCGAGCTCGTGGATGAGAACACAATCGTGGTGCACACCAACCAGACGCCCGTGGAGGACACGCGTGACAGCAGCGGCCCGCTCATGGGGCAGGCGGGTACTCCTGGTGCCTGAGCACAGGCACAGGCTGAGCAAAGCCTCCAGCTTCCCACTGTGAGTGCAGGGGTTGCGTGTGTTCATTTCTGTTTTGTTTTCTTTTTGATGAAAGCCAGATGAAGGTGATGCAGAGGGACAGAGCAGCGGGCTATTCATCACGATCTGTTTGAGTGGCACCATTCAGTGCATGACCAGCTGGGACTGGTGTGGTGGACCCTGCTGCTTCCTCCCACCTATCTCCATGGTGTGCCAAGGAGCTGGGGGGGATGATGGGCCAGGCTCACAAGTGGCCACAGATCCCATAGCCCAGAGTGTGGTCTTGGCTTCCTTTTTTCCCCGTTCCTTTCCTATTTAATGGTGTGCACTGTTACTTAAGTTTCAGCCTGGAATCCCAGGAGGGAGCAGTACTGCAAGGACTGAGGGGAGCTTCACGTCAGACTTAGCTAGATAATTACACTCTGATTATAGTTCCTGCCTTTCTGCTTTGTGGCTGAGAGATGGAGACGCTGTCCAGAATCCTGCTACTGGATCCGTCTTTTTTCCAAGGAGGAGTTTGAGGGATGGCTTTGGCCAGGAGCAGTATGTTTGGCCCCAGTGTCAATTTGGAAAAGCTCTTCTCAAGCTCTTGACAAATCCAGGTCTTCCAGAGCTGAGGCCACATCTCCATTCCCCTGGGGTGCTACATGCACAGCCACAGTTGTAGGTGTCCAGGTGGTCCGTGCCTCCTGCTCGCTTACACACATCAGGAGACCAAAGGCCAGCAGTAGATAGTTGTGGAGAGAAGAAAACAAACTGCCCTTCAGTTACCTACAGCAGGTGGAACACTGAGGATAGATAAACATCCTCTTCCCAATTCCCTTGGCTTTCTATGGTGCCAGCTGTGGACAGAGTGGCCGTGCCAGCTGCGGAGGTGGCCTCAGCTGTGGTGCAGCAGCTCTGGCTCTTAAGGGCAGGACGGGGCAGCTGCTCTTGCAAGATCCAGCCTCTTTCACACACACTCCACTTGTGCAGCAAGACTCCTTGCTCACAGAGCCTGGCCCTGTTAAGAGAGGTTTTGTAACAACTTTTATTAGCGTTTCAGGGGTTTTGGAAGGGATGGTTGCTGCAGTGTCTCCTAAATGGCACCGAGGCAAGGCCAGTTCAGGGAAACATCCATCCCCGCCTCAGGGGATTCAAGCCATTCAAGTAAGTTTTGTAGCCATCTGCTTTATAGCTGTGGGCCTAACAGGGAGCAGCACTCGACAGCAGGGGTTTTAGTGTTAATGTTTGATTCAGAAAAGGGAAACGTTTTATTTTTAAATGCCTTTGAATACCATTTCTTTGTAAAAATGTTTTAAATACCTCATTATGAGAAGGTGCAGATTGTGCTACCTTGTATTAAAGCTTAAAAGAAAAACGCTGTGTAGACCTTTGTGGACTGTGGCTCATCTGAACGTTCCTCCTGCCAGAGCAGCCTCCCTTTTGCTTGTCACAGACTTGGAACAGAGAAGGGAAGGTGCTCCTTCGGTTTGCCAGGCCCACAGGTAAATCCCTACAAGCGGTGCCTCCCCTCACCAGCGCTGGTCGGGGCCACGGGAGCTTGTCCCCTTGCTGCCAGCTTGGGACTGGGACACTGTTCCTGAAAAGCAGCTGTGGGCGTTGGGGCTGCGCTGACTCAAGGGCCTGGCCCGTGGGAAGAGGCTCTGGGTTACAGCCCCTTCCTGCGCTGACGCAGGTCGGTCCTGCTTTGGTTCTGCTCCCTCCCTCGGGGCCGTGGTTGGAAAGCGCGATGGTGTCGGAGCACAGCAGGTTACAGGAGGTACTGACATAACCAGCATTTGTGTTCGGTTGTTGCCTTAACTAACGCCCCTTGAGTTACGTATTTCAGAATAGGAGGTTTCCAAGAACAGGCGGTATTTTTATCCTCGTTAAAAAAGGAAACCGGGAGAGAGGATCCATGTTCTGCTGGCTCCTGTCCACCCTTAAAAAAAAACAAAACACCCACAAAAAAACAACCAACGAACAAAACTTGAGCACTTCTTCCCTTTCCATCACTCCAGGTAAATATTACTATAGAGCACTTATAGTAAGTCTCTCTGGTTCTGTAAATGTGTCTGAGCCCTTTGGCTCAAAAAAGAGAGTTCTAGATGATGCCTGATCTGTGCAGTTTTGATGTTGCTGTTTTGTGACAATAGAAACACAACAAAGTTCCAGCTTCCCACTTTATACATAAACACAGAGACAACGAAGTCTTGTTTTCATAGCATACGTTTACTGCTTTTTTAATTTAGTTAGAACATGGAGCTGTGCAAATCACAGTTCATAAACCCCACCCACACATCACCCAGGACTTTCCCCTTCAGGGGTCCCCTCACAAACCAGCCTGGGAGGGGGAAAGGAAGGGCAAATCCTATTAACAATCCTGAATCCACTGGACCCAGTTTAGAGAGGCTCCTCCGCTGACTCAGCACAGGGAGTCCCCAGTGTTTCTGAAACACCACTACACAGACTAAAACCATCCCCCTGTGCACACCTTTTGTCAGGTGATGGCTGGTCCCATGTTATTTTACATAATACTTTAAACTCATGGGTAGGGGGAGGAAATCAAAGTAACAGCAAAGACTTAACACCAATTCCCCCCCATTCTATACCGAAGGGGGGGAGGGGGAAAGGAGCACACTAGAAATCCAGTTAAACCAAGGTGTTTGTGAAACTTAAGAATGGGACTTAAGCCAGTTTTTGTTCAGTTCTGCCAACCACAAGAGCTACCACAGCAGTAGCTGTCCTTCCTTCTGCCACCAAGGGAGGAAGAAGAGAAGTGCTGGAAGGGAATACACTCCCACCCACCTCCCAATGACTCCAAGCCCTTTTTCTCCCCTAAAGCAGGGAATGACCCTGAGGAAAGTTTCTGCTTGGAGAATCAGTTCAGGTGCTGCAACAGGAGCTGCAAGAAGGACCTTCAAAGGGAGCAACTTGTGCAGCCTGCAGGAAAGGATGAGGTAATGGCAACTGAATTACTAGTTCTCCAGCTGCCACTCCTGGGAGGATGGGACATTCTCCAGCACTTTTCTGTTCATGACAAGTCCATCCTTTAAGTAACCTTGGGCACGTCCCCCTTTGCCATTGTCCATGCACAAAGTCTGAGCCACTTCAGACCTTTGGCTTTCTGAAAAGCACCTTCTGCCACCCATCTTGTCACCTCATGTCCGCAGGCCGAGAGCTCAAGCAGCTTCAGCACTCCAGGGATGCCCACAGCCAGTGCCTAGTGCAGTTCTACACATTCAGGTTCAAATGCTTTCACTAAGTTAAGGTTCTTGGGCAGGCAAACTCAGTGTGCAGGCTCAGGGTCTGAAGGTGTTCAAGTGGCTCATTTGTTGTCTGCCTTTGTTCGTCATCAGGAGGAGCAAGGAGAGCTCAGTCTTAGTGTTTCTAGGCAGGCTTTTGGAGGTATTCAGAGACAGGAGGAAAAAAACCCACAAAACCAAAACAAAAATTCATACACACTTCCCTACAGACAAGGTATTTCAGGAGAGCTGCCCAGTTCCTGGGGCTTTTCACTCCCTCCCCTGATGCAAACTGGAGGCCAAAATCTCAGTGGGTTATTCTGGAAAACACATGCACAAACATACACACACACACGCACACACGCACGCTGTCCCGGTGAGGCCTTTTGCCAGATGTCCAATTTCCCCAGCTTTTCTGAGCAGGGCAGTCGGTGGGAGAAGCAGTTCCAGAAGTGCTGGTCCTTGCCCAGGAGAGTCTCCTATAGCAATTCCCTCCCTGGCAGATGGGCCAGGGTGGCTTCACAGCTTGCAGCCAAGTTCTAAGGCACCACAGTAAAGAAGCCTGAAAAGGCTAGAGAAACATTTCTCAAGCCAGGAAAATAGTGTTGAGCAGCTTTCCTAGGTGCAGTTGGCAGGAAACAGCCCTTTTTTGCTTCTGAAACATGCCAGAAATCCACAGTGAATCAGGATGTCCAAGAGGAGGGGCGCTGGGTGGGGAGGGAGAGGCAATGCAGCAGCCGCACAGCGTGGTGCCCCGTTAATGCCCTCGAAGTGGCTGAAGTGCATCTCCCTCCCCGTCGCTCATCTCAGCTCCAATGGAAGTGGTGCAGCAGCAGCACGAGCTGACTAGGTCGTGTTTTCGGGCAGCTTGTCACGGTTCAGTCCATACTGCACACTCACGTTGTGGTCCAGCTCCTCCAGCTCAGACGGGAGGGGGATGCCAAGTTCTCCCAGGTAGAGAGAGAGAGCTTCAAAGTAATCTTCCAGCTTGGAGAAAGGGGGCCTAGAAGCACCAGTGAAGAAATGTGAGTGGGAAGCAGAACAGCACCTGCAAAGGCTGGGCCAGTTGTCCATCCAGGCTCCTGTCCCGCGCACAGAGGTCTGAGCAGGGACATGATCCCTCCCCACTCAGCTTCTGAGACTGCAAAGATCCCATCTCTCTGGGCTGCCCGTTTTTACAGGTGATGACCAGTGAGGTCCAGCTCTTTTGGAACCTCCTTGGCATCGACGCTGTTCTGAAGCTACAAGTTTCACAATTGAAATCAAACGAAGTTTTCGCATTTCAGAGCTGCTGCCAAAGTCTGCCCCTACTTTTTGTACATGAGAAACCCCGAACGATCACTCCTCCTTTACCCTCTCTGTCTTGGTAATTGTTTCAGAGCCCTCTCCCATATACAGCACTCTCTGTGTGCTGACGAGTCTTTAGTCCCTCCTCAGGTGGAAGCCTTTGAGCATTCTCACAGAAGGCTGGAACACAGCCCTCTGCCACCCTCCTTCCACCAAGGGGATACAGACACTCCAGGCTTACAAAGAGGAGTCCTCCAGACCCCAAACCTACCTGCTCTCTGGTTCCAGTCTGCAGCAAATGGCAGCCAGAGGGAAAAAGGCTGGAGGACAGTCAGCAGGAACAAACTTCTCCCAGAACAGCTTGACGTTAAGGCCAAAATCCAGTGTGCGTGGGAGACAGTCCGGGTCAGCATACACCTGGCCTATGATCTAGGGAAAAATGAGAGGAGCAATTAAGCACAGCAACAGTTCCAGAGTGTTAACAAGGAACTTCAGTGTTGGGCAGAAGCTCTTTCAAAGTATAAGGGTGCAAGCGAAAGAGCAGAAATGCTGTTCCTCCTTTCCAGTGGGTGTAGTTGCACAGGGGAATGAGCAAGGCACTGCACACAGACAAACCTCATATGAAACTTTTTCCAGACCTGATGATATGGCTGCTGTTGTGAAGGAAGGCCCAGACACCTTCTCTTTCTCCCCAGGGTCCCTCTGACAGATACAAGATTAATATCTCTGAAGATACTGGATGATGTCCACCTCCCAGAGAGCTCAACAGCATCTGGCTGCTGGGTCAGCTACTGTGCTGTGTGCT